GATCGATTGGGCCCATTTGGGCCTGTTTGGGCCAGGGGGCCTTACGCCCCCGTTTATTACGCCCCTGTTAGCGGCCTCTTGATCTAAACCGCAAACCCTCAACCCTAAACCCTAAACCCTAAACCGCACCCGAATCATCATTCACACCCGCAGGTCTCCCATGGCTGGCCCAGAATCACGATGCCCATCCCAAAGCTGACCAAGGAATCCAACGCCAGAGTCCCTAAGCCCCTTATGTCTAAGCCTTGGGGGTTTAGGGACCTTTAGGGTTTAGGGTAATGGGTACCACAAAGAACTGTACATAGTGAAATTCAGGCCGTATTATTTCCATATTAGGAGCCATTACTGTAGAGGGAATTGACCTAACCTAAACCCTAACCCCTAAAGGCTCTGAACCCACAACCTCCATGGGGTTTAGGGTTGAGGGTCCAAGCCCCAAAACACCTACCCCTAAATCCTAAACCCTAAATACTAAACCCCAATCCCCAATCCCCAAGCTGAATATAAGCATGAGCTGGGGAGCAGATCCCTTTAACTCCCCATCGGCCTCTATACCCGTATTCTACTGACACGCTTAGCCGCCAAACCGTGAACTCTAGGGTTTAGGGTTTAGGCTTTTCCCCGTTAAAGGCTAGGGTTTCCATTTGCCTTCTATCTACGCCTTGAACTATGGGTCCCTAGTAATCCTGGGGCCCTATATACCCATTATAGGGACCCTATAAGCCCTAAAAGCCCAACTAAGGACCCCAACTAAGGACAAAGGGAACAGGTAGGGACTCATGTCTAGGACCTTGGATTCCACTTCCCCCCTGCCCCTAAACCGTAAAGAGCCCTCAACCCTGAACCCTAAACCTTAAAGAGCCCGAAGCCCTAAACCTTGGGTACTGCCCCCCCCCCGTAGCAGTTGGATAATAATTATAACATCGTTATATATAGCCCTTAATAGGACCCGGGCAGTATCTCACCTAAACCCTCTAAACCCTAAACCCTCTAAACCCTAAACCCTAAACCATGAAACCTTAAACAACCCTAAACCTTAAAGAGCCCTAAGCCAAAAACCCTATAGGCTGGCCAAGACTCAAGACCTCAATGCAACCCTCGCAGCCATGGGCCGCTGCCAGGTGCAATGCTGATACCTAGGCTTTGGGGGTTTAGGCTTTAGGGCTTTAGGGTTTAGGCTTTAGGGTTTTAGGGTCTAGGCTTTAGGGCTTTAGGGTTTAGGCTTCAGGGTTTAGGGTTTAGGCTTCAGGGTTTAGGGGTGTAGGGTCGAGGGTTTTTAGCCCGAGGGTTATGTTGGGGTTATATCGGGAGAATCGCAAAGAACGTGGAAGCTACTGCTTAAAGTTTAGGATCTCATTTAAGCTTTTGTGAGGTCGGGTTCAGAGTCTATAGGGGTACACAGGGGAGTGCAAGGGCGGCTCGGACCCCCAATAAGGTAGCCCTAGTTTCGCGAACCCCCCCTAAACCCTAAACCCTAGATAGTAGTTTCCATTTTATTTTCCATTACCCCAATTTAACCCCGATATTACCCTAGTATTACCCCAATGGGTACCTACCCCCTTTTATTTCGGGAATCCCCCACTTGCTCGGGAAGCTCCCCGAAGATCAGGAGGCGCTTGAAACAGCGAGAGGGGGGGACCTCTCAACACCACGGATGCCTGTAAAGAGTTCGGAGTTGAGGGGTTTGGGGTTTAGGGCTCCAGACCGAGGATCCGAAAAAGTATTGGGGATGGAGTTGGGGTGTTAATGGATGAGGGTCCCTGGTTTCAAAATTTGATAAGCTCGCATATGGTTTTGGGTTTAGCTGGAATGAAGAGAACTGAAGGGTCTAGGCAGCCTCTTCTCAACTGTATCCATCCAGGACACATTGGCCAATACGGCATCATGCTCTTCATAGCCGTACCGGACATCTTCCATGGGAATGAACGTGACACCTGACGTAAGACAGAGCGTCGTCAGCAAAGGCTCAGATGCACAAGAAAGACTATAGCCCCTCACACCTTCAACTCTATAGGACCTGTAAACTCTAAGGGATTTGGAACCCCAGTAGAAATTATGATTTCAGCTAAATATTAGGATTGTTGGTAAGAGAAATTAAAAACCATTTTCAGGAACCTTGTAGTTTTAAATGATCGAAAGTTCGAAAAAGGCAAAGTCCCCATGTCCCTTGATTAGCGCAAATTCCTGCATACATCAAGACGGCAGCAAACAGTAGCAGATGCCTGCGCTGGCAAAGATTTCTGCCGTCTGGTTCACTGCCGCGCCGGCTTTCAACAAGTTCCTGGGTTGCTGTTAAGGAACTTAAGTTAAATTAACATGATGGGTATATGTAATAATCAAAATGGTTTCGCTCATCCAGGAACTCAAATTAGATACTACAGTGGGTGTATATAATAATTAATATGGTTTCCCCAATCCAGGAACTTAAATATTAAGTTACCATATTGCGCATATATATAATAATTACTACGGTTTTCCAATCCACGTGTTTAAATCAAATTACCATAGTGGGTATAGATACTAATTAATATGGCTTCTCCAATGTAGCAAACTGAACCCTAAACCCTAAACCCTAAACCTAAATTCCTGAACAGCAGCCCAGGCTCTCAACACAGCCAGTACACTTTGACCTGACTGCGTCATGCAGCGGAGTCATGTTTCGCATCATCAGCCACCTTACTGGTGTTTAGCGTGAATACAGGAACATACCATATAGGGGTTACATAGGGATCATATCCCCTTATATCCAGCTATTTCTAGTCTTTGAGCAAATGGCTGAGGAAATTCTAGCATCAAAATGATAATTTTCAAAATTGCCCGTCTTGGGCCGCTTTGGGCCGTTTTGGGCATTTCGGGCTGTTTTGGGCGATTCTTGCAAATTCCCCGCTTATCACCGCGTTGACGTGGTGACATTGCCCCCTCCTCGCAAGGTTCTTGCCAGAGGTTTACTTGTCTTTCAAAATACTTAGGGCTCATGTGAAAACCCTGTGGCCACTCTTCCTATCCTATTTTAAACCTTATCCTCTTTTCTATTGGTTATCATTTACAGGGCTGGCCTACCAGAACTGTCTAATATAACTGGAATTATAAACGTTATCGCTCTCGTTTATTGGCTAACATTTTGCAAGGGAAGCAACAAATATGACCGCTCTTGTATAAATACTGACAGCAGGGTTATTACCCAAGCCGTTGTGAGAAAGAGGACCAAAAGTCGGAAATTCGAAGTGGGCCCGTTTGGGTCAGGGGGCCTTACGCCCCCGCTTGTTGCGCCCCTGTTAGCGGGGCTTTGATTAGAGGGGATATCTTACTCCCTTCTAATTTCCCGTACTAAGTTTATCATATCACTTTATTCCCCGATTAATTTCAGTAAGCCACTCATACTGCAAGTTTCGACTGATCTTGCTCGTGCGCAGCCCATTGAGGTCCGGGATGGATTTTTCGGCAAGCGCAGGACTTGCTGTATGGCATGGGACCAGTTTCCTGGGTAAGCTGTAAGGAACCTTTAGTTATTGTAATAAGGGCGTACAGGGTATGAGGGTTTAAGGTATCTAGGGTTTGGGGTTCCCATAATAAGGAAACCCCATTATTTACTATATACCCATTTTCTGACAACTTAAATGCAGTTCCCTAACAGCAACCCAGTTTCTTTGTGCTGCCACATGGAGCACGGAGCTTCCATCACTTTCCATAGGCTTAGACACATCGCAGAGTGGCAAAAGCGTCTCAAACGCCATCTGATCTGGTGCAAGGCGAAACAAAGATGGGCTCTGCATGTCATGCTCACCTCTGCAGAAGAGAGGCGTCAGGTCCCCTTTGCGTTTATCCACCATGCACTGAGTCATGGAGGCAAGAGTGTGCCGCCAAAGGTATTGCTCACTGGTTGCCGCGAAATGCTTGGCTGCCGCTATTTTATCGAGCAGTGCGGACACTATGCTTCCGGTGGAATTCGTTACTTGCGCACTCCTGGGTTGCTCTTAAGGAACTTAAATTAAGTTACCATAATGGGTATATATAGTAGTTAATATGGTTGCCCCCATATAGTAACTTAAATTAAGTTCCTTAACAGCAACCCAGACTCATGCAAAAAGAATACTGAAGACTTGCCAGATCAGGCGAGTACAGCATCACCTCTATCAGGGGCATCCTTCAACCCTCACTTGGAGGCCCATGGGACTTAGGAACTACTGATCACTGGACTTATAACCCTACTTATACTTTCCCTGAATGGGCTTATGGGGGGTTACCCCAATAATAATTAGGGTTATAATCCCAGTGATAAGTATAGTTACTAAGTCCCATGGGCCTCCGAGCAAGCCCTAAAACCCTAAACCCCAAAGCCCTAAGCCTCCTAAGTCCTAAGCCCTAACCCCCCAAACCCATGAACCCCTCAAATCCCTAAACAGTGTGCCTCTTTCAAGGGCATCCATGTTGTTGGCAGGACATCCCGGAGCGGTCCAAGAATTGGATTTAGAGACACCCGTGTCCTGGGTTGCTGTTTAAGGGGTTTAGGGTTTGTGATTTAGGGTTCAGCTACTCTACAAAAGGAACCCCTGTTACTTGCCATATTATACCCATAGTATAGTAACTTAACTTAAAGTTCCTGAGCAGCAACCCAGTATCTTCTCTTCAAAGTCTGGGTTGCGCGAGAGACGCTGGAATAACCTGAGTTGCAAAAAAAACAATATCAATAAAGCTCCGATGATAGGGAACCTCTTTGATATACCATTTCTCTATTTTCTGGTAGGATAACCATAAACTCTATACGAGCTACATTTCTCATATAATCACTGGACATGGGTTCAAGGACATGGGTTCTCATTAGGAATTAGATTAGGGCCTATGCCATATGCTGTGCCAAAGGGACCCCTATGTCTGCAATTGTCCACGCTTCATGGTCCCTTGGTAACAACCTTAAACACTAAACCCCAAGCCCTAAACACCCTAAACCCTAAACCGCGTGGCTCATAGAACCTCTATATAGTCCATTTAGAGCGAACCCAAGATGGTAACTTAGGGTTTGCGGTTTAATGGCTCATGATATACATCCCTGTATATAGCCAACCCCGCTATCCTAGCTACCATTTGATTCTCTGTTGTTTTTCCCACTTGATTCTGGATTAGGGTGGCTCAAAACCTAAGCCCTATACATCCTAAACAACCAAACCCGAAACCCCTAAACCCCTAAACTCCGAAGCCCTAAACCCCCCAAACCTTAGACCCTAAATCCTTTTACAGCTACCCAGCAACTGCATGGCCCTGGCTTTCTGCGGGCTTTGTTGGAGTGCTCTCAGCTTGTGGAAGACCATGCTGAGCATGCCGGTCTTCCTGAGTGTTTAGGGTTATAGCCCCCCTTAAGTAGATAGAATATGGGGTATATGAGGATTTTGCTAATCTACCCAAAACCATATTCTATCTACTCAAGGGGGACTATAACTTGTTTCAGGGTTTAAGGTTTAAGGGCTTCAGGGTTAAGGGGTTTAGGGTACTAAGATGTTTAGGGTTTAGGGGGGTTATATAGCGGATTATAAAGTTATATAGGGGATTATTTGGATTATTGATATGGGGATTATATAGGCTTTAGGGTTTAGGGGTTTGGGGTTTCAGGGTTTAAGGGTTTCAGGGTTAAGGCGTTTAGGGGTATAGGGTTTAGGGGTTTGGGGTTTAGGGGTGTAGGGGTTTACGGTTTAAGAGTTTAGGGTGTGGGGTTCGGAGCTTAGGGTTCAGGATTTAGGGTTCGTTATGACCTATACTTGCGACTGTACCTTTCACTCAATTATACGCCTTTTTTTTGAATTCTCCTTGTAGGCTTGTAATTCGGATATAGTTACAGTTACAATGACTAAGCAGTTTACACGAGCAATCCTCATCTCATATCAGAACCAGGGTAACCTTTTTCTCCTGTTCTTTATGAAAAACAACCCTTGAAAGGGAAACAAAAACCAGTAGCCATGGGCTTTCCAGTAAGGAACTTAGATTAAGTTACCATACTGGGTAGTCTTAGGAAGGATGATAGGCGTCATATACGGGTTATATCAGGGTCACATTGGGTTTAAGGCTAAATTGCACTAATGCGGTAATGTAGTAGAAAGCAGGGTTTCCTTGTGCTGGCAAATTAGTTTAAGGTTGCTTAAGTGCAATTCAGCTTCTTCCCACAGTGCGCAGCAATGTCTTTGATCACCTCGGGGTATTCAAGACTTGGGCACAGTGCCTCCTTTTAGGCGAGCCTTCCATATATACTTACTTGTCCTTCGGGCAGTGTGAGGCATGGATCTATTGTAATAAGCTCTTCATGATAATGCGCTGGAAAAATCGGTGTATGCACGGCCCCTACCCTAAACCTTCAAGAAACCGTCAGACCTACGGAAGCCGGAAATTCTCGGAACTCTCCCCTCGGCAGATTCTTTTTAGCAAGGGCCTGAACCCTTAACCCTGAACTCTAAAATCCTAAGCCCTACATCCTAAACCCTAAATCGTAGTTTCCATTTTCTTTCCCAGTATCCTCAAATTCCCCGGTAAAACCCCTACATGGTAGTTTCCCAAAATAAGGGGATCCCAATATAGACCCCACATACTATAAACCTTATAACAGGAACCCTTAAAAAGGTACCCCCAATTTTTGGGAAACCCCCCCCAAACCCTAAATAGTAGTTCCATGTCATTTTCCGCTATCCCTATATAACCCCTATAATAGTCCCCTATATAATCCCGATGATAATCTTCTTTCTATATTATCCCCTATAATAATCCACTGTACAACCCCTATATCCCCTCTTCATATACTTACCCAAAACCTGTACTACAATTACTATCCCCAAATCCCAAGTACCTAATTCTTGGATACTTGGACCCTAAACCCTAAACCCTATATACCCCTATATACCCCTATATACCCCTATATATCCCTAAACCCTAAACCTTAAACCCTCAACCCTAAACCCTAGACCCTGGGTATTTGGATGTACGCATCCTCAAAGTTGGAGGGACTCACTGCCTCGTAGGTGAAAAGTCTTTCCAATCCCAAAGCTGGCTCCACTGCGGCGGCCAGACCTAACCTGCAGGTGTGTAGGTTTAGGGTTTAGGGTTCAGGGTTTAGGGTCTATATAGGGTCTGGGGTTCAGGGTTTAGGGTTTAGGGTTCAGGGTTTAGGCTTTAGGATGTAGGGTTCAGGGTCTAGAGTTTAGGGTTTGAGGGTTGGCGTTAGGTTCTGGGTCTGGGGTTTAGGGTTCAGGGGCTAAGGTGTAGGCTTCAGCATCTAGAGGCTGGGGCTTCTCGCGGGTTTGGGGAGCTCTGCAAACGTAGGGTTTTGTTGGACATAAATTTGTGGCTGAATAGGGATTAAAAGAGAAGAGTAGTGGATCCAATTTGCTATGCAGGGCCTGGGGTGTAGGTTCGAGGGTGTGAAGTATGAAGATCACTCCAAAGATTACCGCTGTTTTTTGTTAGTAGATCCGGATGCAGCAATACTGAGCTTCACGTAACAAAGTATGTACGTGTAGTCTAACTCGAACTGTCACTTTCTGGACAACGACAAAAAGCAAGAACAATAACAACAACCACAACAACAGCAGCAGGCAGCAGCAGCAGCAGCAGCAGAGACTGCTGGCACTGTTTTTGCTACTGCTGCTGCGGCTGGTGCAAGCTAGTAGTATGCTCGTGCTGCCGCTGCCATGGCCATGGCCGCCGCCGCTGCTGCTGCTCGCTAGCTAGCTGGATAGGTAGCTGCAGTAGCAGCTGTTGCAGCCATTGCCGTAGTAACAGCTGTGGCAGTATCAGTGGCACAGTAGCACAGCAGCAGTAGCACAGTAGCGGTAGCACAATAGCAGTAGCACAGTAGCAGTAGCCAAGTAGCAGCAGTAGTAGGAGGCAGTGATAGGAAGCCGTAGTGGTAGCAGGAGGTGGGGGAGCAGAAGGAGTCGGAGTAGGAGCAGCAGTGGAAGCAACAACAGCTGCAAGATTACTACGTGTCGTGACATATTGCAAGTGCTGCTAGCATGTGCTAGTCATGTAAAGCAATGTTCGGACACGGGTGAGCAACCTTGATTCTTTACCACATGGCTACAACGACGCTAGCATGACCTGATCTAGAAATTTCTCGACATAGAAGTGCGGTAGCAACACATGGGCTTATCTTCGAAAAGGATTCTAAAGCGGACATCTTTCGAGAAGAAGCCATTCAGCTGCGAGGCCTCTTGTAAGCATCAGGCACACTCTTGCCGTACTTTGCCGAGATCACAGCAATGAACTGGGAGCCGTTCTCCATCTGGCCACTACAGTTGTTGATCGCTTCTTGGCTGCATGTGTGAAAGCATGACTGCTTCTTGCCGCAGCGGAAATGTTCCACGCACTCGTTGTAGCCGCCCAGGCATATAGGTATGGAACAAGACTGTCGGATCAAGGGCTGAAGCGGCTCCAAATTGTCTGGAGTGGTAAGGGTTACCTGGGGACTTCTCAAAAGAGGAGGGGCCCTGGAAACCCCTAGAAATATGTAGGGGCTATCAGATGATCAGCCAAGGTTTATGAACTGCCCATGAATAGGGTTCGATGGCATATTCTAAGGGAATTGTTTTGAGAAGCTCGAACCTCAACTCTGCGGCTGTGATCAAACCAGCTTGTATAGGGGCGCAAAATCCCAAAAACTGATTTTGAGGGAGCCCATGCATCGACACGGACCGTCATGGCCGGAGAGTCAAAGTGACCACCACAAGCCTCGCAGGGGTTTTTCAAAAGGAGAAAGGTTGAAAGACCCCAGAAATGTACGAGGCGGCTGCTGCTGCTGCTGCTACTACTACTACTACTACTACTACTTCTTTTTATAATAATAACAATAATTACTACACCTTTTCCTGCTCCTCCTCCTCCTCCTACTAGTAGTAGTAGTAGTAGTACGTGTTCCGTACCTATCTGACGCCACATAATTGCGAATCTTCGTCAAAAATGGCAAATGACGCTAGCCGCAAATCCATTGCAATTTGCAGTATTTCCTGGCTGTCATGAATTTCACCACAAAAACCTTCCATGGAGACCTGGGCGCCGAAGCGGACAAAACACACCACAAACACAGGCATGATGAGCATACGCATGATGGGTTGCAACAACATATCCTGACATGATTTTCGCCGTATGGCTAGGCCTCTGATATGCTAAAAACTACAGTATTTCGCGTCTTTGAAGCTTCACAATGTTGACAACAATGAAGGTTGTCATGATGACTGCAAGCCGCTGTGTGCGCCAAATTCTCTCAGTCCGTTTTCGGACCCTTCCACCTGCAGTTTTTCAAGGTTCACAAGGGGACACGTCTTGCTGAGCAATTTTTAGACCTGTGGGGGGACCATCCCATGAAGCCTCAAATCTACTGCTATTTACAAAATGTCTGTGCTCTTAATGATATTGCTTTTGTTCTCAATACCAGTTGTCATGATGAATCACGGCAATTTTGCCACGAAAAATTTGAAGGTATAGTTTTTGGGAACCCTTTGTGCTAATAGGTTTTCAAGGCTAGTATGGTGTTGTTTTTAGGGTAAGTATGGGGACCTTTTTTGCTAATATCATTTTAGTGCAAGTAGCGGCTAGTACTCGGGACCTTTGCGGCTATAATTCTTCAGGGCAAGCATCGATGTCGTCTTTATATTTGTTCGGGTAAGAATTGAAGATTCTTGGAAGCCTCACACAACGCACGGATGTCATCTTTGCAATTTTTGGCTAAGAGGTGAAGAGTCTAGAATGCCTCCAGCGAAGCATTTGTTCTTTATGGGCTGTCTTTGTGGGCTGACGGGCCACAGGCAAGAGACGCGCCGTAGATGTGCTGCGAAGCTCATCAGACGCGTGACGGCGCTGCTGCGACATGCTGCGAGCACGCCGCAGTCGTCTCTCCTTGGCAGCGTGGCCAGCATTTCCTAGCTGCGCTTTCAGGCGTCTGATGAGCTCCGCAGCACATCTACCGCGCTTGCCTTTGGCCCGACAGCCCTCAAAGGCAGCCCATAAAGACCGGATGTTTCGCTTGAGGCATTCTAGACTCTTCACGTTGTGTGTGGCATCCAAGAATCATGATTTTTGAGCCAAAAAATGCAGATTTCCGGCGCCCAGCTCAACACTGCACTGCTCTGTAAATGCATCGCCCCTTGCAACGTTTTCTACTGCTGGGTGCTCCGAAAACCCAGCGTCAAACAAGAGCGAAGCGCGTACTACGTGTTCTACTACTACTACTACTACTACTACTACTACTACTAGTACAACTACTACTACTACTACTACTACTACTACTAGGTCCCCGGCGGGGAAAAAACCCCCCAAGAAACCAAAACACAATGATATCATACAATGGTATCAGAAGGTTTCCCCACTGGGCACCAATA